TGTCACCCTCTTCTGGCCCCTAAAGGGAACTGCACTCATGTGCACAGGCATACGCATAATTTTAAGAATATATAAAAAAGGGGCTGGAGAGATGGCTAGTGGTTAAGAGAACTGGCTGCTCTTGCCAAGGATCCACGTTCAGTTCTCAGCACTCACATGGTGGCTAGCAACCATCATAACTCCAGTTTCAGGGGATCCAACGCCCTCTTCTGATCTCTGCAGGCATTGCATGACACAGGTGCACTTACATACATGCAGGCAATTCATTCATACACATAAAATAAAATAATAATAAATAATTTTTTTAATATATAAAAAATAAAAATAAAGAAGTCTACCTTTTCCAAGCTGAATAATGGTGTGTTATGCATATATATACAAACTGTATGTGAATACATACACATAACATTTTGCTTATCCATTCATCTGCTGAACACTTGGGTTGCTTCTACTTTCTGGCAACAATGGTGCTAAGAATACAGGTATTCAAATCTTTCAGTTTTTTTATGTATGTAGCCAGAAGTGGAATTGCTGGATCAAATGGTGATTTTATGTTCATGTATTCATTAAAAAATTTTTTTATTTTATGTATATGAGTGTATTGCCTGCATCATGTATGTGAGTGAACCCGTCGTACAATGCCGCAGAGGTCAGGAAGAGGGGTTTGGATTCCCCTGGAACTGGAGTTAAGGATGGTTCATAGCTTCCATGTGGATGCTGGAAATTGAACCCAGGTCCTCTGCAAGAGCAGTCAGTGCTCTTAACCACTGAGCCATCGCTCCAGCCCCTCATGTATTCATTTTGAAGACACAGGTCTAAAAGAATATGATCAAGAACAGGCCAGAGAAATATGGTATAACTGCAGAGCATGTATAGGGCTCAGCTGAGACCAGCAATCTTGAATCTAAAATGAAACCAGTCAGCATTTTTGTGTAATTTTTTTCCATCCACATTCAATTGTACAGGTACAGGTAGAGGTCAGAATAAATATTGGATATAATCATGATCTAGGCTTAGTCAGGCCAGTGTGTCAAAACAAGAAAAATACAAAGGACTTGAGGATATGCATGTAATTCTAAGTGATTACAGTTTTGACCATGGAGTAAAGGCTGGGTCAGGACTTCAAATACATTTTATAAATTTTTCCATACTGGCCTGGCAATTTTCTTATAAAAGTAATTTCTAGGCTCTTCATAAATGAAAATATTTTGAAAATTATTCCAGCTATTTTTGTTAGCATATACAAATGAATTTTATTTTTTATTAATTTATCATATATCGAACCAGTCTTAAAACTGACTTTATTACTCCAAATATCGATGCTTTTCTCTTCCCTTTCTTTATTCTTTCTTTTCTTTACCTTGGCATGTTTGCTAGTAATTCCAGAATAATGTTTATTATAAAACATTACATATAGCTGGGCATGGCACTCCCAGCAGGCAGAGGCAGGAGGATCTCTATTAGTTTGTGGCTAGCCTGGTCTACATAGCAAGTTCCAGGCCAGTTGGTGCAGCAAAAGAGAGCCTAGCTCAAACACACACACACACACACACACACACACACACACACACACACTACATATAAAATGTTGCATATTACACTTTTAGGACTAATTTAAAATTTGTGTAAGTATGTCTATGCATGTGTTTAGGGTGTCAATGTGCAAGTGTGTGTGGGTGCATACACATGTATGTAGAGGCCAGAGGAGGATGTCATGTGTCTTGTTCTATCATGCCTTACTCCCTCAAGACAGGGTCTCTCACTGAACCTGGAGCTCGCTGTTTTTCACGTAGGCTGATGGCTAGCAGGCCCCAGTGGTCCTCCCGTCTGTTTCCCACAGGTCTGGCATTACAAGCACCTGCACGGCCACACTCTTTTTTTATCCAAACTCATGTCCTCATGCTTGTGCAGGAAACACTATTGCCCACAAGCCATCTTCTGAACCCCTAGAACTGATTTCAAATGGATGCTTCTAATGTTACCATTAATAAAGACACTGACTCCAGTGTGGAGTAGGTACTTTGTCAAGTAACAGAAGTTCAGAGGAGTCAGCAAAGAGCTTTCCTCAGGAGTAAATACTGAACTTTTTCAAGATGAGATGATCATGTGCCTTTCCCTAATACTCAGTTAATGTCTTTATTAAATTTATGAATTTTTAAAAATATGAAATGACTCATTCATTCTTTAGATCATCCCAACTTGTGCATGATGTAATGAATATTTTTATGTGGCTAGAGTTTTTCATATTGATAGCCTAAGAAAATAGGGTTTATTACATCCATTTTTAGATTAAAAAATGGAGATAGAGTATGGCAAACACTGTGGCTTATATCCAGCATGTGGTGGGACAGGACTTCAAACCCACTCTGCTGATTGTAAATGGATCCACTTTCTGTCAGCTACTCTTCCTTAAGGCAGGGCCCCATCTTTCTTATGCCTCAAATGCTCAGGGCAGTAGTATACTACACATTATGGACATGAAAGAATTTGTGTTTAAAAATTACTGAACATTGGGGATGGAGAGATGGCACAGTAGGTTAAGAGCACTGGGCTGTTCATGCAGAGGGCCTGGGTTCGGTTCTCAGCACCTCAACTTTGGGGGATCCAATGTCCTTTTGTGGCTTCTGCAGGCATTGCATGCATGAGTGCACCTACATGTAGGTAAAGCACACACATAAAATATAAATAAATTTTTAAAATGAAGTGGACTTAGCAACTAATCCTAGTGGTTCTTTATTAATAAATTTCTCTAAAATTTCCATCACATTGGAATGGATTTAAAAAAAAAATCAGCAGAAGATAAAAAGTAACGAAATGACGTGGAAGTCTCCTGAAAGTATAGATTCCCTTTGGTGAGTATCACTAATATATTTATACTGAAGACCAAAGAGAAACCAGAATCATCTCCCTCCCCAAGAGTACCTGAATCACTTCAGTCAGGAAATGGCATTTTCTGAGCAGACAGGTTGGGAAAAAGGTCTCCAAGCAGAGAAGGAAGCAGTGCTTGCAAAAGAACATCTGACAGGTAGAAAGACCACGTCCCCAAGGCTCAGGAAGAAGGGGATCCTCTCCAACTCCAAAGACCCTGTGATGGGGCTCTGGGCATAGACAAGAATATTTTTGCGAAAATAGGATGAAGGGATCAACAGCTGTAGCCAAAATATTTCACTGCAAGTAGAAAAACAAAAAACATCCCTGTTATCTCTTCTGGGAAAAGCAAAAATAAAGTTGTGTTTCACTCCTAATTGTCCATCTTGTGGGCAAAAATAAAAGGAAAATTACCTCTGGGCAATCTTACATGCTTTATAGAATAATGAGCCATTTTAGGCGTTGAACAGGAAGCAGAGGAACAAATGCCCTCTCTAGAAAGGAACAGTGTAGTTGCTTTATCTCTAGAAGTAAATCATCTAAAGAAACCAAAAGGGAGATACGAGGTACACTGTCTGTGGCCAGTCAGTTGCCATGATTGGAGAGACAGTGTGGCTTGGCCATTGGCTGGAAGGCTTGCACCTGGGAGTCTGATTTGAGCCTCTCCAGCTTCCCTCACGTTGTCTTCCAACTCTTTACATACATCTACAAATCACGTCATTACACACCAGCTTCTCCTCTCTCTGTCTCATCATTTGACTGTTGATTCATTCAACAATCCAATAAATTTCATAAAGCCAGCTAGTAAGGTGGTCCAAAACACCACTAAATCAGTCAGCTTCCAAGACTGACTTCTAATTGCACATATGTGGCCCCTTTGTATTGACAAAATTCTAAGATAACCCCCAAGTACTTAACAGTAGTACTTGTAAGTGCTATGTAATCTCCCTTGAAGGTGAGAGGAACTTGTGAATATAACGGGGTACCACTCCCATAATTATATGGCAGGAGATTTACAGATGTAATTAAGATCCCTAATTAGCTGACTTCTGGTTACTCGAAAGATAGATTATCTTAGGCAGGCCTGACCTAATCAGGGGAGCACTTACAAGAAGTCAAAGGAATTCAAAGGGAGAGGTACTTCCTGCTCCCATAGCAGAAGCAGACAGCTATGTGACCTGTTTATAGAAAACGTCACCTGGCCAGAACTTGACAGCAGCCTCTGGGAACTGAGAGCAGTCCCCAACCAATAGCCAATAAGAAGCTGGGGCCTTGACTCCAACCATCACAGAGAACCAAATCCTCCCAAAGCCAGTGAGATTGGAAGAGGAACCTCAGCCTCAGCTGGCACTGCAGCCGCAGCTGGCCACCTTGACTTTAGCCTAGTGAGACCCTGAACAGAGACCCTATGCCTATTTCTAATAAACTATGAGATAACAAATACATGTTTTGAAGTCATCAAGCCTGTGGTACTTCTTAATGCAGCAAAACAAAATGAATACACCTATCCCTTGAATCTTAAAGTTTAATGGAAATACCCCTAATCTGAGGTTTTGGGATACAGTAACAACACATCATGTGATGTGGCAGGAAATGCTAGTGAGCTTCTTTATAAACTGGGAGAGGATGTCTGTATTATGTGACTGAGGGCATTTGGCAGCTATTCGTGCTGTTCAGTTATTTCCAGTTTTCCCCCACTCTGGGCTTGCTTTCTGATGCATGACTGCCTTTTGCATCTGTCCCTTTTGGTGTAATTCTTGTTGGATGAACATGTGTATCATATTAGTCAATGTGATGGAGGTGGAAGTGATGGGCATTATTTCTGAACTGGGGCACTTGATCCTGGCACCTAACTCTCCCTGGCTCTCTTTCCTTCTGCTATCCTATACAGTGCTGCTCCTCTCCTGATAGTCTTGTTTATAGGGTAAAGGCACATGGGACTCATGATAGCTAATGTGAGCAAAAAATAAATGATATCTTAATATACTGAATTTCAAACACTTCTGTTACTGTGGCATAACTTAGCCCATGCTGACTTAGATGATGAATTACTGAACCACACAGCCCCAAACGACAGGCAGAGATATGAAAATAGGAAGATAAGATAGAAAGATGTGCATCTTTAATGCTTTCATGGGTCTTTTAGTTTCCTTTATTAAAAAGAAAAAGAAAAACCTCAAGTGTGAGCAGAAGAGAAAACTTGAGGATGTCAACCATCACTCATCCATGTTGAAAAGCATGACAACCATAGGAGCTGATGATCCCTGTGAAGGTCAGGTCAGCTTTTCTCTCTCCAGGGAAAGAACAGGGGACAGTGTTCCTGGACATCTCTTCTTAAGACAAATGCTATCCTCTGTCTTTAGGGTTTCCACACTCCCTTAACACCAAGAGTCTTTGAAGTCAGGGTCTTCATATCCTGCAGAGGGAGATGGTCAAAGAATATTTAAAGGATCGTATCTATCTAGCAGTCAAGTAGACATCACATACGCATCTGAAATCTGACAGGGAAAAAAAAAAAAAAACCCAAACCCAGAACACTGTCTCAGGAGAAAAGGGCTGAGCTATAAACCTCTCATTTTAAAAAAGAGGTGATTTGCCTGGTTGCCTAGGTTAACAGGAAGGTTGCACCAAGGGATCAGTTTTAAGGTCCTTTTAAAAACAGTTCAGATGGGTTCTGTGGCAAACTCTAAACTTAGATGTTAAAGATGGAGGCTCTGTTGAAATGTTCTTTGGGAAATTAACAGAAATTCCATTCTAGTAGGTTTGGATTTTGAAGATAAAAATACCACTGGCTCTGTGAATGGTGGAAGACTTACAGCAGACATGTATAAATTCAGCTAACCCTGTGCATAGCTTCTCAAAGTGTTTCTCTGTTCAGACACATCAGTAATGTACAGTCAAGGAGATGAACCGAGGAATGAAAAAAGACCTCCTGACTATGGTCAGTGACTTTGATCACTCTTGGACAACAATAACAGAGCTGACCAGACTCCACTTCTCAGAGACTCAAATTTGATCAAGAGGACAGATGACCAAAGACTTAGAACTGGTGTGATACTTATTGCCATGGTTTGAATATGAAATGTACCCCAGCCTCATGTATTAGGAGCTTGATTGGTAGCTGATGGACTTTTGGGAGTGGTTGAGTCCCGAGGGCTCTGACCAATTTATTCATGATAGAGCGATACTATGGTATTACTGGGAGATAATATAAAGTAGGAGATGGAACTTAGTTGAAGCAAGTAGGAGGTCCCTGAGGGCATGTCTGGGGGCTAAAGTTTGCCCAAGGTCCTTTATTTTCTTACTCAGCTTCCTGTCCACCTTGAGGTAGCTGCTGTGCTTTGCTATGCCTCCTCTAGTATGATTGATGCCTCTGAAAACGTGGGCAAAATAAATCTTTCCTCCCTTAGTTGTTTATTGGGTATTTTGTCACAGGGACAAAAAGTCTAACTCACATACTTGAAGAACATTTTTCAATGTGACTATATTGGTTGTGTCTATATGAGAAGAGGAAGTGGAATATGAAAGTAATGACTCAGTAACTCGGGCCATAAGCTTCTATTTACAATGAAAACATAAATTGATTATAACAAAAGAGGTTGCAAAATTGAATCACCTAAGATAATTGCTTCAGTTCCCCGACTCACTTTCCTTAGCTGTTCGGTTGCAGTTTGGAACAAGGGTACAGTGGATGTCTGAATGTTATCTTTTAGCTATTTTGCTGCAAAAGATTTGCCTCCTGGTCCTATGCTCCTCTCACTGCAGAGCTGGGTGACATGACCAGCATATGGCCACTGTGGGCAAGCTGCTTCCTGTGTTCTTTGGGCTTTATCTACATTTCTCTAGACCCATGTGATTGGGTCCCCTGGATGATGAGAACAAAGTACAGTAAAGGAATGTCACCTAGCTATGGCATTCACAACACAGAGAGACAACAATTTAAATGTAACTAACTGCACCAGACTGAATAGATTAATTAGTTTACCACCAAAGAGATACTAAAGCAGGGAGGGGATGAATTTCAGGCTCAGCTCACAATTATAAAGAGGTGGCATAAGAGGGAATTTCAGGTTTTTGGAAAGAATTCCTTCCTTCTGAGACTCAGCTATGCCCCTGGTTCCTCAGCTTTTCTTCTAAATAGCAGTGTCTATGTTTTATTAGTTAATCAATAAGACATGATACAGAGTATGGTTATCATAAAATAATCAGACCCTGGAGCATTTTGAGGCATGAGCCACTTGCCTCTAATCAGATTGGGTTGAGATTACCTTTGGATAACCACACTCCTGGGAACTGTCTCATTTCTATTACGAGCACATTTTATAATAGGGAAAAATGTACATTTCTGCAGGGGGAAAATGAAGTTGGCAGTGTATACCTACCAATCATTTCAGCTAAGCTGAGAAGTATTCCTCTTTTTGAATAAATCGCACTCAGCTTGTCGATTGAAGCGTTGTCAGGGAAAAGAGGCATTCCACGTTCAGTGGACCACACAATGGAAACTGTATTTTATTTTGGATCTGCAAGCTTCAGATTTGATGCAAACATTCAAAGGAGGCATTTGAGACTTGGCATGCATGTTTATAAACTGGCACATTTTGAATGTGGAATGAGTTTTGGTGTTTGGGTTCTAATAGCAGATTTCCTGGGTAAAAATGGAACACAGGCTTTCTCTGACTTCCTACAGAATGAAATGCTCATCTCTGTCTCCATCATTGTCCTAGACACCCTGGAGAGTCCGTAAAGAGCAATGTCTACCTCTTCCTTCTGGGCCTGACCAGTTAAAATTTGAAATCAAATTACATATATTGGAGAATTAAAGATAGAAATGCCTGATAAGCCATGAAATATACTTTACAACAGTGTGCCCAGCACTTTCCCTACTGGTTTAAAACAAGGCAAAAGTCCACTTAAAATGTTAGATGAACACATGGTAGGCTGCAGATGATTAAACTCCTAGAGCCAAAGGTTTTAATCCTGTTTTTCTATACATTTCCATACAGAAACTTTTAACATGGGATTAATGATAAGGAAAAAAAATATGGTGAAATTACATATGCTAAATGCTTTCAGATAAAAGTAATATTTGCAGCTAATAAAGGTGGAGATAAGAGAGCTGATATTAGTGTCATCCTGACAGGATCTGATGACTGATATGCTTTGTGGCATTCTTATTAGCTACATAGCCCTCACACTCAAACAAAAAGACTTCCAGGTTGCTTTTTGCATGAGGGAAGAGAAGGTGACATAAAGAGAGGTCTCGTTTTATGGATTTATTGTATTAGAATTAAATTTAGCTTTTATATGGCAATTCTACACTTGATTAATGACACCCCCTTGCAATGTCAGTTATTTCAAGAGCCTCGGAATGTCTGTCTTGGGTCCAACAATTGCTTCATCCTTCCTTACTATCTCATTCCCTCCGAATTCCACTTAATCTTTACAAAAACAGTGAGGGCAGCTGGGCTCCCGGCTTGAAAGAAATGAGGCCTGGCTAGAAAGAAATCAAGCAAAGATTTTCACTGATGATTAAAAAATTCATCTCCTATAACTAGATAGAAGAGACCATGTTTAATTATTCACAGAGTAGAAAGGCTCCCTTGGTTGTCCCCCAAGTTAGGAGCTGGGAAAAGTAATTTTGTCTTGCCCCAGTGCAAACCTCCACGGCCATCCCACCTGTGGGGAGGCAAGTCATTGAGGGCTGTGCAGGTGGAGCTGGCTTGACAAGGTGGGAAGCTTACTGTCTGGGGAAGGGATGAGAGGCTTGGCTGGTCTGCCCCTTGCCTGAGGCCCTAGAGGCCTGTTTCCACCTTGCCCCACTGACTCCCTACAACCTCCACTGTGATGTCACCACTGCACTGTTTGGGAACCCTGCTGTAAAGATCGGCTCCTTTCTCATCACGGGCTCTCTGCCTGACTTACCTGGAAAATGCCGCCAAGCAAGGATGCCTGACCTTATTTGGAACATGACCTTTGGCATAGTTACCTGGAGTAAAAACTACCCCCAGCTTTTTTGTATATGATAATTAGGCATTGCCCCATAGTCTGATGATAGGATACTGCTACCACATGTAAATAAAGCATACTATGAACACCTATCAGCTGAAACATTGGCTACTGCCTCCACACTATATTTTCCCTAACCCCCACTGAATAAATGGAGCCGTTTCACTGAGTCTGGAGTTGTTTGTATCACTGAACCTGCCTCCCCAGAAGGGCTTTCTTCTGTCAGTGCTCACTGGCCATCCTGACCCTGTTCATTGCTTCTGCTCCCTTTGTCCTTGTGGATCGGTGGCCAATGACCCACGAGGGGAGGAGAGACCCCACACTGCACCAAATAGCTTCCTCTAAGGTCACTGCACAGTCAAATGAGCTAGCTTCCTGAGGCCCCTCCATCACTGCCGTATTTGTTAATCACACTGCTCTTGAAATTCCTAATTCCCTGACCATTCATTAATCATTTTTCTCCAGCATTGTGCCAATCCTTTTCAACTTCTCTAAGTCTTCCCCCTTACCTAAATAGCAAACATCTCATCTGGCATGCTGGCACATAGTTCCACCTAGAACTCAGGTGGAAGGAGGAAAACGAATTCCAGGTGAGCCTGGGCTAGTAGACAGATACTATCTCAAAAAGAAAAAAAAAATCCAAGGGCTGGGCTGTGACTTAGAAGTAGAGCATTTGCTTAGCACATGAACTGCTTAGGGTTTGATCTCCAGAACTTAAAAGGGGTAATAATAATAAACATCTTCCCCTAACCATCATCTTTTGCCCTTTGCTTTCTTTTCAACAAAAGTACCCTCTCATAGCATCAACTGTCAAACCCATGAGTCAGACACTGACTTCTCACCTTCCATTACTCAGACTCTGATTGTAGACTCCCAAGATGGTGCACTGCAACTCCCTGGTGGTCAGGCCCTCTGAAGTCTTCACCTCTCAAGGGTGAACAGAGCCTGTGATTTGCTACGAATGAACAGAACAATGTTAAGGTGAAGAAATTTAGCAGATCTAAGGCCCCCTAAGCAGCTGGCTTTGAGTGAACAGAAGAGGGACTTTCTGGTGAGTCAGACCCACTCAGAGGAGCTTTAACAATGGGTATAGGCCTTCTCTTAAGAAGATGATGTAAGAAGGCTACCTCCTGCTCATCTTGGCAAACGTGCACTGCTTACTCAGAAGACAGGTGAGGGCCTGAGGATTCACACCCATCACAGCAGGAACTGATTTTTGCCAACAATCTCCATGGGCCTAGAAGACCCCAATCTCCAGATGAGAGGATTTTCCTTGGCTTGCATTTTCCTTGCTGCCCATGGGATCCCACCAGGGGACCTAGCTCAGCTGTGCCCAGGCTCTAGCCACACAGAGGCTGTGTGTTGTTTGAGCAGGTGGTAGTCATTTGTTTTGCAGCATAGAAAACACAGCCTTCCAATTGCTTTATTATCTTCTTATGCTCAAAGCCTTGCTTTTCCATTCATCAAATCCAAGATTTACCACTTTTAAACCAATATCCACCGAGACCAACTACAGTCTCCTATTTAGTTCAAATCCTTTATCCATTTATCCAGGAAAGAGTTGCTGGACACTGCTCAGCTCTGGTATGTGATAAGGAATGGGCTAGAGGTTCCTGACCTCATACAAAGTGAAATTTAGTTGGTAAAATGAACGTTGAACATAAAATTGCAAGCTGCTTTGAGAGAGTTCTCAAGGCACTCTCACTTGTCTGGGAGAAGATAGAGGTTTTACAACTTCAAAGCTGAATGACTGTGTTTGCTTTACATCTTGCCTCTCTACTCATTCTACTGGGTTATCTTTCTCAAAGGTACTTTATAACTTGAGGGCATTTGCTTGCTTGAGGACTCTCCTTGGCTCCTTATTGCCTCATAGATATTAATAAGAATATAGTGAATGTCAATGTGTGCCTTATCTAGGAACCAGAGGTGTTGAAAGACTTAGATGAAGTCACAGAAGTGGTAGAAACTGGACTGGATTCCACGTGAGCCAACTCTGAATCAAAATCAAAGCCTCTTTAATGCGAGAAAGTGTTTGTAAAAATGAAAATAAAGCATGCTTCTAATTCACAAGTATGAAGCTTATAAATGTTGTAGATAAATCAGGTGTAGTCCCCCAAAGGAAAACATTTAGCCCATTTGGGGCCCTTATCTCAGGAACATTTTGATTAGTCTATACGTGTCAGGCTAATCAATATTTGGTTGCTATGTTTGGTCTCATAAACCTGTGACTATAAAATGAGGGTCACATTTATGTTTACGTGTAGATTACAATAACTGAAACCCCTGGCTACCAAAGAGAAATAAAGGGTGAACACTTTTGATGCCCCACCCTTTTGTAAGCCATCACTATGGTATGGATTTTAGTAAGGCACAGAGTCTGTTCTTTGCAAAGAATTACTATAACGGCCTCTACATTAAGAAGGCTGTTGTAGCTCTTACAGTTGGGTGAAAACACCAGCCAATGATCAGTGACAGATGGAGGTCCATCTACCTACTTGCCTCAAGGTGGAACAAATTTTGAGACGCAGTGTTCCCTCCAGGACATTAGTGTGGGATCCGGGCTGAACTGCAGCTGAGATTCCCTCGTGAGGTGCTTCCAACCCTCCCTGGTCCTATTCACATCCTGCTCCTTTTCCCCCAAACAGGAATTTCTACCTTCAGCTTTGAGGGAACCAAACACTGAACTTATTCAAAGAATACTTGATTTTTCCAAAGAACCACCATAAGAGACTCATACCTGGCCTCCCAGTCGATCGTGGCAGCCCCATGGTGTCCCACTACACATTCTTTCCCCATTTGGGTGTCCTGGTCACCCAGGAACTGGTTGACAGAACCTCATTGTGGTTTCTGCTGGAAGTGCAACCTCTGAAGACAACCACATCCAAGTCAAATGTGCTATTTGGGATGTTCTCCAAGTTGTCATCCTTGACTTCATATCTGTGTAGCACTGGAAGTATGGCTTCTTCCTTCACTTCCCAGGTACCTAGACGCCCAAGCCCTGCAACAGCACTGCTTATGCCCACAGTGCCCAGAGCTCTGTTTTCTGGCCTTTACTCTAACCTTGAGAGACCAGGCCAATTTCTAGGGACAGTGGTCATGCTGGCATCACCTTTTCTAAAATCTTCTTGTATCCCATGACCACAACTAAAACCTTCCTTCCCATACAAACTGAAAACCAAAACCTTGTGGAGGGCAAGGGCATGTGGGAAGGAAGTGCCATCTACTCCAGTGTGTTCTGGCACCCGACTTCGTCAACCAGGGTGTCTTTTATTTTAAGCCTATATCAAGGAAACCTCCTTCCTGCAGCTATTTTGGATAGAGAACTTCCGTAAAGAACAGATACAACCTGTTTTTGAGGAACTCTCATTTTATGAAAGTGATTAAAATGTACATAGATGCACATGAAGAAACTTTCAAGACATAATTCTTCCATATCTTACAAAGTTTGTTTGATTTTAAATAAGAAACTTGTAGAATGAGATATTTTCCAATTCTCCTTCATAGATATTAAAGCTTACAATAGTATTTTCTCTGATCTTATTGTATCCATGTTCCATGTTCAAGCAGATAGCAAGGCTGAATGAATTGTACAGAAAACATCTTTATACAAATTATCTAGACTCTGCAATTAATATTTTGCCATGTCTGCTCTATCTCGTGTATATGTCTAGCCAGCTATTCATTAATGGTAGTATTGTAGTTAGTTTTTAAAAACACATTTTATACCTTGATTTAGAATAAAAAAGTATTAGGGCTAGAGACATGGCTCAGCGATTAAGAACACTGACCGCTCTTGCAGAGGACCCAGGTTTGATTCCCAGTACCCACATGGTAGCTAAGAACCATTCCTAACTTCAGTTCCAGGGAATCTAACACCCTCTTCTGACCTCCACGGGCATTGCACCAACATGGGTGCACTTATATACATGTAGGTAATACACTCATACATATAAAATAAAAATAATAAGAAAAATATCTCATAGGACATTCAAGTGAAATAAATTCTGAATGTTCTCTCTTCAATAATAAAAATATCAGATGTATGATTTGGTTTTGTAAGGCTACACTTGGCAGAGGCTTGGCAAGAGGATCTTAAGTTAGTTTTAAGAAACGCTCGTCTGAGTTAATATTGTTTTAATGCAATGGGTAAAGCAGTCATGAATTAAGCCACATGGAGGGTTGAAGATAATGCCAAAGGTTAAATAATAATTCTATTAATTCCTAGACTTTTCAGTCATAAATGTGGGAAGCTATTTTCTTTAATCAATGAATAAATGTGTCTATTCATTAAGTATGAAGTCAGAAACAACTTGTTGTAATACTAATGCATTAAGTAGAACCATATGTATTTATCACAATGATTTACCAGGGTCTCAATCAGTGCTCTGGCATTTACAGCTATGTGATCTAATTACCTGAAAAGCGTTGAGCTAGAGGCAATGCAGACAAAGAAGGGCTGTCCATCCTATGACACCCCTTTTAATAGAGACTCGAGAAAAAAGATGCAGACATGTGAGCATGCAGAAAACAGGGAAACTTCTTGTTTCACTTTCATAAAACTAAAATTTGACCATGTTGGTACATATAAAGTGTTTTTTTTTTCAGAATATCATACAACTTATGCGAAGAAAAATTTGGCTGGTTTGCCTGAACTGAGTAATTGAGAATGCCAGTGCAGGACAGCAATGGCGGCCAAAACCAAATCCCTGCATGGAAACAGACAGCAGGTAGAGAGCCCAACCCCAGAATCATGGACTATAGTTACAGTGAAACCTGTTAATAGGGGATCCCTATGAACTCCCATGGACAGAAAACAAGCGGGTCTGGTAAAGCTGCCTGTAGGCGTCTGCCAGACAATACAACAGGTGGTAGATCTCAAAATTGCCTAGGGGCCTGTCACATCCCTAGACAAATGTAATTTATTACTATGTGCAAAATATGAATATGAATCCTTACTTCAAAATCTGGATAGGGACCAGAATAAGATCCCCGTAGTCAATGAGAGAGTGTCCAGAAAGTTGCTGAAGAAGCAGGTAAGCCTTGGTTGACTATATCACAATCATCTAGAAGATATTAAGAAAATATGACATAAAAGAACACTATAAGTCAAAATTAGAAAAATGAGGTAATGGAACTCAAGAAAGAATAAGAAACAAAGGGAAAATCATTTTATAAAGGAAGGGTAAATTAGAAAGAACATAAGGATAAATCAGTAGAAAGTGTGAAAGGAGAATTTTTTATTTAACTACCTTATTTATTTTTAATTATTTATTATTTTTATTTTATGTGGATGAGTGTACTGCTTGCATGTAGGTAGGTGCAACTGTATCATGCAATGCCCTTGGAGGTCAGAAGGGGCCATCGGATCCAACTCTGAGAAAGATTTTTTAATTAAGAGAAAAAAGAAGGGCTGGAGAGTTAAGAGCACTGGCTGCTCTTGCAGAGGACCCAGGTTCGGTTCTCAGCACCCACAGCTAACAACCATCCATAACTCCAGTTGCGGGAGAATCTGACACTCTCTTCTGACCTCCGTGGCATTGCATGACATGGGTGCACTCACATACAAGCAGGCAATACACTCATACACATAAAATAAAATTATAAACATTTTAAAAAGAAAAAGAAAAAAGAAACAGGACATGATAGCACAGGCCGAGCACTCAGGAGGCTGAGACAGGAGGATCATGAGTTCAAGGCCAGCCTATCAAGGGAGACCCTATCTTAAAACAAGCAACCAAGCACCTGAAAAAAAATAGTGATAAATACTGAAAACAATTTCAAAAGATCCAAGAACTGGGCACTAGAAGTTCTTGAAGAAGAAAAACAAAGCAGGAATCAAACCACTTAAAAGTATAATTTAGGAAGTTTTTCCCGAAGTAAAACATTTGAAATGGTATTTTGAACTTATTTAAAAATTTTTACTTTTGAGATAAGAGGGTCTCACAACATAACCTAGGTCTTCAGCTCATGTACCTTCTGCCCTGCCTTCCCAAGTCCTGGGATCACAGGTATGCACTACCACACCAGGCTTTTAACAGTCTTTAAATAGAAAGAAAAAATTCTCTGGGCATCTAGCCCAAAAGGAACAGAAAATTAGATCACAATCAGACATTTTGACAGCAGTGCTTTATGGCAAGGAGAAATGGAGTGGCATATTGAAGATTTACATAAGTAACACATATTTAAGATGTTACACAAGGAACATATTCAAGATTTGCATCTAGCAAAACATATCTTCAATTGCAAAAAGCATATATAAACTATTAGCAATATGTGAGAACTCAGAGAATGTCATTCTTGTGGGTTTCCTTCAGGAATTACTAGAGACTAAGAACAAAATTAACTCAGGACTGGTGAGATACCCAGTGGGTAAAGGTGCTTGTTGCCAAGCCTGATAACCTGAGTTTGATTCCTGGGACTCACATTGTAGAAGGAGTGAACCAATTCCCTCAGGTTGTCCTCTGACCTCCACATGTGTGCAGTGGTATGTGTGTACTCATACACATACACACATATAAATACAATAAAAATTAAAAGATAAAGTTATAAAATATAACTCAGCTACAGAGATTGATTGTACACACTGAATACATAATTACATGTAGAACTAAGACAAAATCTTAAAAATTTATTTTTATGTATGTGTTTGCCTGCATGATGTGCACTCCTGCATGCAATGTCCATGGAATCCAGAAGAGGGCATCAGATCACTTGGAACTGGAGTTATGGAACAGTTGTTAGCTGCCATTAGGTGTTGGGAACTGAACCCAGGTCCTCTGCAAGAACAGCCAGTGCTCTAACTGCTGAGCCATCACTCCAGACCCAGATGGAAGATTTAAGTGTGTTTGCTTCTCTTGTTGCTGTGATAAAACACTGAACAAAAGAAACTTGTGGGGGGAAAGGGTTTATTTGACTTACAGGTTGCAGTCCATCATCCAAGGAAGCCAGGGAAGAAACTCAAGGAAGGAAACTGAAGGTAAGAACAGAAACAGAATGGAGGAGTGCTTTTTAAAAAAAAATTTATTTTTTATTTTTATTTTATGTGTATGCATCTATTGTCTGCATGTAGGTAAGTGTACCTGTGTCATGAAATGCCCATGGAGGTGAGAAGAGGCTGTTGAATCCCCTGGGACTGGGGTTACGGACAGCTGGTAGCTGCCATGTGGGTGCTGGGATTTGAACCCAGGTCTTCTGCAAGAACAACCAGTGTTCTTAACCGCTGAGCCATCTCCCCAGCCCTGGAGGAGTGCTTCTTATTGGCTCACTCCCCCTGGTTTGCACAGCTACTAGCTCAGCCCAGATCCACCTACTCAGGAACAGCACTACCCACAATGGGCTGGGTCCTCCTACATCAACAGGTACGAAAACACCTCACAGACATGACCACAGGCCAGTCTGATAGAGGAAATTCCTCAATTGAGATTCCTTCTTCCAAGTGACTCTAGTTTGTGTCAAGGTGACAACAACTAGCCAGCACAAAAGGTATATAATTATATGCTATGCTTTGGTGTGGTATAAATTTAAATGGAGGAGTTAGGGCTGGAGAGATGACTCAGCAGTTAAGAGCACCGGCTGCTCTTGCACAGGACCTGGGTTCAATTCCCAGCACCCACATGGCAGCTCACAACCATCTGTAACTCCAGTTCCAGGGAATCTGACATTGTCTTCTGGATTCAGGAGGCACCAGATACACACATGATACACATACACACATGCAGGCAAACACACATACGTATAAAATAAAGACACATAAATTTTCTAATGGAGGACTACAAATAGAGCATATGCAAAAAGTTTTTGAACTGCTTTTAGCAATAATTGCTTCTGGTTATATTAGATTTACTGTTCTGAGACTATGGCATGCACAAGTGAGACAAGATAAATGGACCATTATAGGATTGTCTAATTTAGCTCCTGGGTCTTTGAGAAGCAAGATTCATGGTGTAGAAGAAAGGATACAGGTATACTATAAAGGAGGCTAAACCAAAGTCCTGTAGTCACAAAACTGAATCAAATGTGGCAGTATAAAATCAAGAGATATTTTACTTTGAAGTATACATTTTATTCTTATTATCTATATTAATAATATATTTTCTACTTTCATAAAAAGCCAAGAAACAATGATCAGTCACTTAGATTGTGGTCTTGAAATATTACTTACCACTGAAGGAAATCAGAGCTTCCAGGGGGAAACAATGGTTGATTCCAGGTTTGGAGCAAGAGCTGTTTAAGATAAACAGGAACATGTTGCATATCAGCTAGTAAGAACAAAAGTCCCCAGCATCATGTCTAGTAGCAACCTAACACAGTTGTAGCACTTCCCAATAATGCCATCATAATATCTATTCATCAAGGGATTAATCTATCATTTACTCCAGAGCCCTCAGAATCCAATCACTTCCCAAAAGCCTATGAGTCCACAGCAAAGTCTTCAGTGTATACCCTTGTGAGGGGAAATTTCATATTCAGATCATAATATACTGAGCAAGTGACCACTGAGCTGCACTGAATGCTCATTTCTTTACTTAACTGGAAATACTGTTAATTAATTTCTATCTGTTGGGGAAAGGTGGCTTTTAGATCCAGGTAATGTTAACTGCTGACAACTCCTTATTTCCAACCTGGAGAATTGGAAATGTTATGATGAAGAACAAGATGGAGGGCTAGACGCTCAGATCAGAAGCAAGGTGGTTGGAGGGCCTGTTAAAGGGTGCCTGTTCAAAGGAGCAGGACCCAGGGGGAATATCTAAAATGGATCACATAGTTGGTTTGATATTATCATTGCACATCCTAAAATTCCTGGTGCAATGCACAGATGGCTTTTCCATACAATACACTTTAGAATATATAGTTCCTGAAACAGTATAGGATATGACTTAAATCATTGCAAATATTATGTTATTATATTAATAACATAAGATCATTTCCCCTACCAGGAGCTCAGAAAAATGAAAGTTGTATGAATTTATTCCAACAGTGGAGGATAGAGCTAGCAAGAATTGTGGGCTCCTCAAACCATGAGCCTAAGCAGAGAAGTTTCTAAGCACCACACCAAGCAGTGACATCATTGTTTTCCCTAGTTACCCAATGTGGAGGCAGAAATAAATAAGCTAGATGTAAATGCAGTATCTAATGGGGTGGGGTGCTGTAACTTTTTATGGCCATTGTAACTCAGAATTCAGTTACTCAAACCATGTAACCAAAAACTTTATGGGGCCTGTCAACTTGTTGCTTATGACATTGACAAAAAATGTCCTGCATTCATTTACTTTTGTGGGAACTTAATGTAACTGGCTCATTGGATATAACTGAACTCTGAATTAGCACTAGCACTTTGTGGATGTCAGCATAATATATATCTTTTACAAGGAGCTAGTGGGTGGGAAGTATTTGTAAACATAAGATTTAAGTATATGTACTTATTTATTATATAATGTATAATGTATAAATCTTATTTAGTTAAATTAAAATATGTATTTAGTTGTTTAGTTATTAAATAACACATAAATAACATGGCTCATTCCATTTAGTTAAATGATACCTGCTCATGCAGATGCTCTGAAAAGTTGAAAAAATTTGGCTTCTACCTTGATATAGATAACTCAACTTGAAAGATACAACTATGTTTTTGGAACAATCATAATAGGTAAACTAGAATGATCATCCTCATTTTAGAGATGTCAAAACTGAATGATATATGTTAAACGCCATTTGCAAACTCAGTTTTCACTGTTGTAAACACCTCCGTTTCAGATTAATTATAAGGTCAATGACCAAAGAAGATGGCCTCTGACCAGTGCCTCATCTTCACATCTAGGATCTGGGAAGTTGTATTTGAATCAATGCCAAGCTTAATACACATTAACTAGAAGCTAAGACACAAATTTATAGCTAACAGAAACTCTGTGAAAAGCTTGACCTAGGTAACCACTCTCAAGCACACCTGAACAAAAGGATATTTTTCTGCCAGAAATGTAGAATAGGATGTTTTGTGTGTGGTTTTACAAGAATTATCATTTTATCAAATATTTAATACCACTGCATCATTCAGTTAATAATTCTGCTAGTCTACAGTTGACCAAATGGTAAGTTTTCAATTACTTTTATGGAAATTTTCTTTGGAATCACAACAGTATCTTAATTTTTAGTTCATGTTTTCTCTATGAAAGTTTGACCCCTTCAGAAATTTAGGATTAAAACTATAGCCATTAATCTAATAAAATCCATGTAAGTGAACAATATTTTCTTGTTTCCACCTTTTTAATTAAAATGGCAAAATAAGCTGGGCATAGAGACCCATACCTTTAATCCTGGCACTTGGGAGGCAGAGGCAGGTCAGTCTCTGAGAGCTCAAGGCCACATAGTAAGCCTTGGCTATGTAATGAGTTCCAAGTCTCTCTTTCTCTCTCTCCCCTCCCACTCCTCTCC